TCTCTCTCTCTCTCTCTCTCTCTCTCTCTCTCTCTCTCTCTCTCTCTCTGTATTTGTGTGTCTTCGGTGCTCAGCCTCTCCCCCACGGCTCCCTCCCTCACCTCGCACTCCCTCTCTCCCCTCTGTCCGGCAGCTTCATGAACCCGCTGGCGGTGGAGATCTGGCTGTACGTCATGGCCGCCTACATGGTCGTCTCCTTCACCATGTTCGTGATGGCGCGCTTCAGCCAGTACGAGTGGAACAACCAACCGCACCCGTGTGCTTCGACGATAACGACGTGGTGGAGAACCAGTCAGCGTCAGCAACGCTTCTGGTTCATCACCGGCACACTGCTGCGGCAGGGCTCCGGACTGAATCCTAAGGTAAGGACTTCAGGGAACGGGACTAAACTCCAAGGTAAGGGCACCGTGCTGAGGCAGAGACAGGGACTGAATCCAAAGGGTAAGGGTTCGCTGCTGAGGCAGGGATCCGGATGAACCCAAAGGTTAGAGACCGGAACACAACCCTATGGTCAGAGCAGGGCACTGAAGAGTTGGACAGAGTACACTGCTGCGACGGGGGTCCGGGATGAATTCCAAGGTAAGGGTTCTCTGCTACGTCAGGGTTCCGGGCTGAACGGGTTAAGATAAGTCACACTACTGCGAGAGGGCTCGAGACTCTCTCTCTCTCTATCTCTCTCTCCTCTCTCTCTCTCTCTCTCTCTCTCTCCTTCCTCCCTCTCCCTCTCTCTCCCTCTCCCTCTCCTCTCTTCCCTCTCTCTCTCTACTCTCTCTCTCTCTCTCTCTCTCTCTCTCTCTCTCTCTCTCTCTCTATCTCTCTCTCTCTCTCTCCTCTCTCCCCTCCTCCCGGGTAGCAAATTATCCTGACCGTGTGTCCAACATGTCCCAGCTAATGACCCCATCTGCTCCATCTAATTGACCCGCGCCCGGCGGGCCGACTCTATTAGCGCGACGCTATTATCGCTGTACACAGTCGACAAATGATGCCATATGACTCATCTGTCCTCTGACTCGCTGCAATGTACGGTGTATATGAATAGAAAGTAGTCGAAACAATGGTGTTGCCTTTTCATTGCATAATTATTCACGCCGTAAAATATTTTTTTCCTTATTTATGCCTTACGATCGCGAATGAGGCTAGGATCGGTACTGATAAGCACAAACGTGTGGGTACCTAATTTTCCTTTTCAACGTGAACAAGTCCAAATACATTTGATTTCGAAAAATAGAAACTCAGTTCATCTGATACAATTTGACCTAAGCTACTTGCAAACAAGTCCGATGGGCTTAAACTGTTATCGCTTTTCTTTTCAATAGAGAGCACTCCTTTGAGTAAGTTCTATGAATGATGGTTCCAACCTCACCGGCCTCAGCGCCGTTACGGGCCGGAGCTGGCGCAGCTATGGAGAGCTTCGAGCTCCGGCAGTGAAGCCCCGCAGAGCCGGGGGGAAGCCACTTCAGGCTAACGTCGCCGTGAAAAATGGCTCTGCGCCGGAATAAAAACAGGCGAAAAGTCGCCGCCGGCCGCGCGAGGGGTCTAACTTTGGAAAGGTGGCCCGCGTGGAAAGTCTGGCGACTTTGGTGGTATAGACAGATTATTATTTGATTGGGAGTAAACATTTCTTAACCCTATCAGTGGTAGACTTCTGATTGAACACTTTAAGGCCCACGTTGCTTTCAGTCTTGTATGCTTCGTTCTTTATCAAGACTTCGTCTTGTATAGTTTTCAGGAAGCCGGACCTAAAATGTTTGACGTTTCGTTTTCGACTTATGATCAGAAGCATGATGGCTACGGGGAGATTCTTTGGAATTGCCATGAATATCTTCTAAAGGTCTTATCATATTAGGTGCGCAGCCCTATATCAAGGAGAGACTAGTTAGACATAAGCAATAAGCATATACCTAACTAGTTCGGGCTGTTTGCCACATCTGTGCAGCCGTTTTAGGAAAAGAGTGGAGCTGATTTAGTGACAGAGCCAGAATCTATTATGAAGATAAACGAGTGCTTAGGCGGCTATTTGTTCCAGTGAAACGCATGGATAAGGACAAAATTTGTAGCACTTCCTGGCGAAATGGTCGACTAATACGAATGGTGCTCAATTTAAGCGACTTCATGGCGTTGATATCTCTATTAAGAGTCTCGATATTGCCTTTTGGTCGCCAGGCCGCATCGACGAGGATCGTGGGGAGCATCTGGTGGTTCTTCACGCTAATCATCATCTCGTCCTACACGGCCAACCTGGCGGCCTTCCTCACAGTGGAACGGACCTCGACGCCTATAGGTGGGTTATTTGCTCCTTTGTGAAAGCATACGTTAGAATGGATTGCAGTTGACGTTGCATTGTTATCCTCATAACAATACAATAATAAGGTGTGCTCATTAAAAAGCTGGGAGTGTGTGTGTGGGGGGGGGGCCTATTTTTCAGCCATATCGTAACATCCTGCGTGCTTCAATACAACAGCTTTGTAACGTCTGTATTTTCTCCCTTACTTCTGGCCATGGCTTTTAAAAAGAGCGTCAAGGTTCCACCTCCCTCTAACCAGTCTCCATTTTCCATTTTCCGTTGCGGCATTGCTAACCCGTTCCGGTCTCCGGTTGATCCAATCCTGCAATCAGGCTGGCTGGTGTGGCGGGCCTAAAAAGCCGCGGTCATCGTCAGAATGGAATTTCAGAGCCCCGCTCCATCGAGCTAGTTTGCAAACAAAAACGGCGTCTGTCATCCGGCAGCGGTCCGCTGATCCCCGGTCTCCGAGCCCGCCTGGTCCGGTCCCTCGGTCCTTGAGAGGCTTCACCTTCTTACTGTGCTGTGGAGGACCAGCTTTCAGGCGACTCTCTGCCAAGTGGTACCAAAGACCGCACAGCAGCGGGTAAAGACATTGGCAAAGTTTTGTCGAAGCCAATCAGCGAGTTGCAAAGGTAGTAATTGGGCGCTCTGGGACACATTCAGAGCCGGATGAGGCCTGAATCAGATTATGAAAGGAATATTGAGGTTTGAACTAGAGCTATGATTGATATTGGGCCTATATGATTTTATTGCATATTTGGTAGTACTGCCAAATATGCAATAAAAAAAAACTGAATCGTGCAAATCAAGGCACAGCTAAATCGTTTACAATGCTTTTTTTGTCAAAAATTTGTTACCACTGAATGAAATTGCTGGTGATTTCTTATCACTGATGACGTCACTTCTTTTGTTGCTGTTTTCATGAAGAAGAGAAACATGTTTCTTAGATTAATAAATTACATTATCCAAAACACTTTACAAATGGCACCAAAGAAAAACATCGGAAATTATTTGAGCATTCGGTACAAAAGAAACTACGCGTAACTTGCTGATTAATTAAATCCCATGTCGCCTGAGCATCGTAACTATGTATTTATTGTTGGTGACCTCATCATGTTAAGGTGAGATTGATTGAAACAGTTCTTCCCGAAGCGTACAGGATTTGCCTCTGGTTTTCAGAAAGCGCTGCAGACTTGGCAAAACAAGAAGACATCGAATATGGAACGTTGGAGGGAGGCTCAACTATGACGTTCTTCAGGGTAAGCAATGGGGACATACAGCTTCTCTGTGACGATCGTGGCATTTATCATGAAGTGAATGGCATTATGAGATCCAAACTAGACGTAAATGCACGTTGTAACAGTTTCAACCCCAACAAGCAAACTAACAGCCTCCTCTGTGTCAGGACTCTAAGATCGAGACGTACCAGAAGATGTGGAAGTTCATGGAGAGCCGAAAGCCGTCCGTATTCGTTCCCAACTACGAGGAGGGGGTGCAGCGCGTGCTGAAGGGCAACTACGCGTTCCTCATGGAGTCCACGCTGCTGGACTATATCGTGCAGCGCAACTGCAACCTCACCCAGGTCGGCGGACTGCTCGACTCCAAGGGGTACGGCATCGCCATGCCAGTCGGTGAGATTTGGGGGACGGGGTAGGGGGACAGAGGTTGGAGGTCAGTCGGGCGGGTCGATAAGGGTGGGGTGTTACTGACACGGATTGGAGAGAGATGAGAGAGAGAGAGAGAGAGAGAGAGAGAGAGAGAGAGAGAGAGAGAGAGAGAGAGAGAGAGAGAGAGAGAGAGAGAGAGAGAGAGAGAGAGAGAGAGAGAGAGAGAGAGTGAGAGAGGGAGGGAGAGAGAGGAAGAGAGTTGGGAAAAGTTTGTCTTCTATTTTTTACTGAGTGCGAATTGAATTCAAACCCTTGTGTGAAGTACATAAATCGACACGCTGTTGCTCTTAACTGGTTGTGATGCCTCCCTAATTTGCTCCAACAAATCTACCTATTTCCGACACGGAACATGTCGTCCTCTGAACCCGCAGGCTCTCCGTGGCGGGACAAGATCTCTCTGGCGATCCTGGACCTGCAGGAGAAGGGGGTGATCCAGATGCTGTACAACAAGTGGTGGAAGGACACCGGGGACGTGTGTAGCAGGGACGAGAAGAAAAAGGACTCCAAGGCCAGCCCGCTCGGCATCGCCAACATTGGTCAGTGGCCGCGGGCGGTGGCGGTTCGGGCGCAGAGGACAGGGCCGCAGGGAGGTGTTCTTAGCGAGGATGTGCTTGATGCGCTGTTGTTAGCAGCCTGTAGATGTGCATTGAGCAATCCTTTCCATGGGCTATGAAAATCACTTTAAGACTTAGAAGCTGCTACAGATATTGTATTTAAGTCTCATATCATGTTGTCTGGTTATTATATTTTCTCTTAAACATTTCTCCCAATTGGTGTGACTTTCTGGTATTGCTCTTAGGCAGCTGCAAAGCAAATTCATACCAGCTGGATAATTATTGAAGCAGACATCAGACATGTGCGTCTATAGTCAGTTTCCCGCGGCGCCGCCGTCATTTCCGAGCGACCGCCGGCCGACCTGGCGCGATGCCAGCTCTATGCCCCGGGGCGGTCGGCGCTGACCCCCAGTGATGGCAGCTGTCAGCCGTAAAATTGGTGACGGATGGCTCAGAACCGAACCACTGCCGACTCATCGCTGCATTTGTCAGTCGACGTCGCACTGCCAGCTTCCAGCACTCTACCGAAATAGCAGAGTGCGTTGTTAAATGAAGCTGCAGTCCGAGTGCTGAATTCGGTCCAGTTCTTTACAGCATCATACTGAGTTAATTAAAGTAAATATTTTAATTCATTTTTTTAAAGAAATATGTTATACCCACGCCTCTCGATGATGTGCTGGATTTGTGGATTCCACCGCCACTGTTTCACCTCACTGTTTCTTTATCACCCTCATGTCCTTCGATCCAAAAATTTCCGGTCGCTCAATTTTACATTTTTCCCTGAATCGTATTTGTCTTGTTATTACATGCCCGATATCATTTTTACAATATCGCTTTTCCACCAGATAAACCGTCCTCTTCGCATTATTCGTGCCAGATTCCTTTTGGAAAACGATGTTTTTCGCGCTTCTCTCGTCAGTCCCTTTCATCTCATCTGTTTCTAGCACACGACCCGTGTTCTATCTGACCTCGGCTCCCCCCCCCCCCGGTTTCCGGAGGGCGCCCCCCCCTCCGCCGACGCCGTCGTCCCGGTCGACGCTGGACCATTTTCTGGCCGCGCGCTAACACGCTGCGAATTGGCATCGTTACCGTCTGGGCCGGACTGTGCCGAGCCCCGCGCCGCGCCGGCCGGCCGGTGCAGCGGTGGTGTCAGGTTGGGCCACTGATAACGGGTCCGTGACAGCGCCGCCGAAAATTACGGCGCCCGTTATTTCAGCGCCCGGATGAGCAGAGAGAGAAGAATGGAGAGCCCGGCTCAGCCGGTTTTTATAGGAGAAATGTGTGGGAGACGGACGCGGCTAAAGAAAACGAGGAGCGAAATTAAACGGGGAAGGGCTGCCGGCTTTCATTCTCGAGAATAATGTAATAGTTAATATCAGATGGATATAATTTAGTCATGCTCTACTGCTCTTCTCTACTCTGCTTCAGAATCGTTTAAGCTTACCCATCGTTTCGTAGTCCTGTTACCTTGGTCATAGTTAATTACATAAGTATGTTACAAGTTTTATCAAAGAAGGGTGCCGTAAGGTGGGGCTATTTGAGACAGTGGGGCTATTTGAGACAGTATTTAAAATTGCTATAAAATAAAAACCACTGAAAATTTATGCTTACTTTTTTGCTCAGGCGATTTACTGCTCGATTCCACACCTCCCTGAGCAAAAATATCACACACAAATCAAACGATCTTCCTTTTATAGCGATTTTAAGTACTGTCTCAAATAGTCCCACTGTCTCAAATAGCCCCACTTTACGGTATCTGAAGTCTGAATGCTTCAAGCGCAATCAGCTGATTTACAAATAAACTGTCTAGTTTGTAAGAAACCGTCTCATTTACGACAGATAATCATGCTATAATTACATAGGCACGCTTGGTTTTTTTTAACGCCCTTTCACATTCCCATTCGATTATAATCGATAATTGGTAATTGATAATTGGTAATTGGTAATTAGTAATTGGTATTTGGTAAATACCAATGGAAGATCATTCTCTCACCAAAAGGTTACGATAACTGCAACGTCGTTGTATGTTCTGCACACACGTTAAACGCACAACGTCGCAATAGCAGCATCAATTCATTGCCACATACACCATCAACGTCAAAGGTTATCGGGTACTGTGGCAGATATTGCCTCCTAACTCTGGCCCAAATCAATGCCGAAAACATAGTTTTCAGAGGGACTATACAATCGGTGCCAGCTAGACAGTCACGTGGATTGCAAGGAAGACTACGTGATGTGCTTTTCTGTGTATTATATAGAATTGTGAAAATAGCCCAATGTTTCTATCATGTTTACCTACGCAATGCTTATGCAATGCTTACGTTTCTGTGCTGCGGCCAGGTGGCGTTTTCGTGGTGCTGCTCTGCGGGCTGTCGCTGGCCATCGTCGTGGCGATGCTGGAGTTCTGCTGGAACTCCCGGAAAAACGCCCAGACAGATCGGGTAAGTCTCCAGATTGGGGCTGGTAGATTGTGTTTATAATTGAAACACCACAGGTTTTTTTTTTACTACTCTAACGACCAATCCAACTAACTTTTCTCCTTAACTATCGAATTCTAGCGGCATTGATGTTTCGTTCTGTAGGTATCCAACAAAGGGAGCATTACATTTATGCTCCTTAAACCACTTGGTATCTGATAAGATCAATGATAAGTAGTTTTGATATATTCGCTTTCGAATGCTAGCTGCTTTAAAACTGATTTGGAATTTCATTGATTTTTGTTCTAAGTCAAAGTCGATTAACGAATCCGTACCTTCCCGTTTAACCTGTTTACGGTGTGTACAGAGCCAGAGCAAACTGCGGCGGTGCTCGAGAAGAAGTTATGATACCACTGCCAGCGACCCCCAGTGGGAAACTGTGAGATCATTAGAAAACCCAGCAGTCCCAGCACCCTATGTCAATGATATCAAGGGATGCAAATTATAAGATTTGATTATTCCAGTGTAAATGCCACCCTTTATCCAAACCAAAGAAATGACCTAAAGCATCTGTAAATTGTTAGAATCCTGTTCGAGTTGTTCCGAGTCACGTCGATATAATCGCACCACCCTTAGCACATGTATTTTGGGTTATGACATGAGCAGCCTACGTATGGAATCTAATATAGATACCATAAACAATGACACTAAAGTACCTTCTTACCTAGGAGTTGTCACTGAAGCGTGCCTGATCATAACACCCTATTTTGACAAAAGTGTTTAACTGTTCCTTTCTCCTTGTAGCCTTGTCATTGATGCGCTTAACAGCTCGGTGTACCTATGGACAATGCATGTACATCTCAAGATAAGGCAATACTATACAGAGAACTACTATGAGATTAGTGGTAACTCCAATCTCATGTAAGGAAAATATATTGGACTTTAATTTGGTTTTATAACTTAACGTTTTCACTTTAACAAATATACCTACCAATCAGTCACAAGATGTGCTTGAATGCATGGTTAGGACCACTTTCAATAATAAAAAAAGCGTTAGACCGTATATTTCAATAATTTTGCAAAATATTCAAGTCGTTCGTGAACTACTATCGACGTTTAATGAAATCGCTTTAATATCTTTATTTCCCAGTACGACTAGAAGTTCACTGAGCAAGGGCCATGCTGTATATATAAATTCTGAGATGTTGCATCAAGTGCAGAACTGCCTGGCACCATCACAACCGTAATCAGAGCTCAGATTACCCATAAATTTCCCTCTAGATGCAATGAGCCGTGCAAATGTGTTATTCCAAATGTAGTCACTTAGCAAGACTAGGGTGTTCCGGAATCTGGGGCCAAATCACAAACTAGCCCTCCTAAAACGGTGTGTGTTTCAGTTGGTGACTGAGTCTGTGCTCTGTTCACAGCAATCCCTCTGCAGCGAGATGGCCAACGAGCTGCGGTTCGCTGTGCGGTGCCACGCTCCTCCGCGACGACCGGCCCTGAAGCGGTCCTGCTCCCGCTGCCAGACTACTAGCGCCACCTACGTCCCGCCGCCGCCGCGAGCGCCGCCTAACGGCTGCGAGCTGAACCTGCCGCGCAGTGTGGAGAACGGGGCAGCCCGGCACCGGGGGTCGTTCGGGTACGATGTGAACGATTGTGCGTGATTCTCAGACAGCGGTGTGAAGTGAGGTGAGCTGTTGTAGCCTGGGGAGGGGAGGTGTTTGTGTATGTGTCGGTGGGGCTGGAGGGGTTACTGGTATTTGACCAAACGTGCGACATCAGCCTGTTGGGACTGAGTCAGTGAGTTACTCGCGGCCTATTTACCAACACCAGAGAATGCTTTATTTGCTCCTTACAGCGTCCACCACTCACTATACTAATGGGAAATACCATGCTGGTACTTCTTTCCGATTTCCTGTCCCTTGATAGTGTATATCACATGAGCTGCGACTGATTAATAGTGATCCACATTCCATATGCGATACAGATTGCAAGTGCGTAAAAGAAGTGTTTGATTGTAGTGTGGTTATTGGTTGTGAATGTCGATACCAACCATCATAGTGTCAGTCTGAATAACCCATCTGAGTGGATGATTCTTGTATGTATATTGTACATAGGGATTTACATAAATAAGCTGGTATGATAACTGATAAGCTTAGAATGTGTGCTGATCAGTGATCGTGCACCCAGAATTTTCATAAAAAATGCATTACCGACATAGAATATGTACGTTATTGATGGGTGGCATAATAAGCTTGGAGCTGCGTGTGAATCTGTCATTGCAAAGGACGCATGTGTACACTGAATACTTTTTCAATTGCTAGTCATGACCGTCCAAAGACGCGTTTTATTGCGATAGAAGATTGTGAATCAAAGCCCGTTCAAAATTGTGACAGAAATGAAAAACTCCTAGCATTTTTTTGTGACGGAACGGAGTTGAAAAAGAAGCAGGGTAAAGCAGATACCTCGATTCGCATTTTTAGAAAGCACTGACGCAGCATACGAGTTGACCGATGACAAATGATTTGTTGACAATAAATGAAGACACCATACACCATGGATGTGATTGATGTGATGTGGCTACGAGATATCTTTGGAGTCCGAAAGAGCTCGCTCGGTCGGACTCGGGCCTTCTGGGGCAAGCGTGGGGCCATCGCCCAACAGATGTCAACATGGGCCCTCAAAAGCATGCCTCCTACATACCTGATCCCGACATCTGATCCCAGGCGACCCACGACCTGTGGTGTCAATATGGGCCCCCAAGACCTACGTGAGGCCTGGGGGGCCAATGAGGACCTCGGAGATGAAGAGTGGGTCCTCCCTCATGCTTTGCAGAGGCCAGAGCTCTACATGGGAGCCCTTAGAGATCGACATGACCTCGCGGAGCCATGCAGTTGATTCAACTGTGCGCTAAAAGTCTAAGTGCTGACAAGCCGTAGGCACAGGCGCGCAGCTGGGGTTGTTGTGATGGTGTGAGACGTGAGTTGTGACGGTCTGGCCTGTTGTTTTGTTACCGATTGCTGCTTCAGCGTCACACTGCAGCGGTGTTCATTTGTTGTAGCTTGAGTACAGTACTTCGACACCAGGTGGCAGTGCTGTGGCGTCCCACCCGTTTAGACAGGTAAAGCGCAGTGGTTACCTTCTGATACCAGGTGGCAATGAGGTCGGGTGTACGGATCGGTCGCATTCTTGTCGGTGCCAGCCCGTATCAAGTCCCTGGCGCTGATGGAACCCCGATAGCACTCATCCGTGTCAGCTGATGTGCAGCTATGATTGGCAAGCGGAAGATTTGTGACCATTTTTACGTTTTTACCCACATACCTACACATTTCATGAAGTGGATGATCCGTAACAAGTCATGCGTTGAACTCTGCCTTTCCGCCTGAATCTGTAGAGCCTGGACGGGTGCATTGAGGGCTGCTTTGAAGTAGCACGAGGAAGAACATTGCTCTTGCGATTTAGCAAGTTTTTTTTCTCGGAGTTAGTATATGGCTGTAAATAGAAGAATGATCGAAGAAAACATGTCTGGTCTTTTCACCGGTTCTTACGAGTACGTAACGTTCGTGTTCTTCGCTTCAATGAGAACCAGCAATGCATACCTGCCAATTCCCGATAGTCTTGGCCAACATCCTGTGAATATTGAAAGGTTTGTATGTCAAATGTGCTTTACAAAGTCAAGGGCCTGGGGAAGTACAGGGTGTCCCAAAAGTAAGGTCATGATTTAAAACTTAAATATCTCGAGAAGTAAGAGTCCGAATCACTTCCAACTTTAACACGTGCAAGGTACATCCATAAAATTATTTTCTTGCATGCTTAAACCATTTTTGATCATAACAACACCGAGCAGTAGGCATAAAACTGAGAAGGTCAAAATTCAACTCTTAGAGAGGGTCCGTCATTAAAACAAAGGGTAAATACCGCCCAGTTTTCGGCCCTAAGCAGACCCTATCAGCTCGCCCTATCTCTGAACTCATGCATAGTTTCACCTCAACCGGTAAAACGTCAGAAAAAGGTATAATGTACGCACAGGGCATGTATACTTAGCCACCTGTGCTTCGAGGTCCTGAGGACGACAGCGGGAATCGGGTGAAAATAAATCAAGAGAGGTGGCCGAGAGTCCTCCCAGTGGTTCTTCCGCTCGTCGCAACGCAGCTGTGCCGACACCATCAGCCAGCAGTGGTTTCAGCAGGATGGAGACTATGCTTGCACCGTCCTGAAGATCATGCATTGTCTCCGAGAGTGGATGTGAGATCGCGTAATTTTCAGTCAGGGCAACGCCATTGAATGGCCTCCGCGGTCACCTGATGTTACATCTTCATATTTTTATTCTCTGGGTACACAACGGAAAGGTTGTCTTTTAGGACAACCCAACGAGCCGGGAAGAACTAAAGGATGATCCCTCCGACTTCCGAGCAAACATAAGCGGCATCTCACCAGAGAATCGCTCCAGAATAGTAGAGGAAGTCAAACGCAGTCTATTCATGCACGCGGCCCGAAATGGTAGCTATGTAGAAAAGCAGCAAATGTGGGGCTACGAGCCAATGTATTGACTCATATGTATATCAGAATAAAATTTTATAAAATGCTCTTTCATATGATGTCCTATTTATTTCTATCCATCGCGTATTTTTGGCGGTGTGGCCAAAACAAATGATGACCTTACTTTTGGGACACCCTGTATTGTATTAGGTATATTTCGTCGTTCAAGAATCGAGATAGGTATCTATCAAAGGACGAAATTATCAAAATGGTTGTGGGTCATATGAGAACGGGAGGCTGGTGTGGAAAATATATTGAAATTATTTCAGGAAAAATAGAATAATATCTTCTAGCACTGCTTTTTTAGGACATGCTAAGTGTCTAGCCACGCAAAATATAGGTAAGTCACTTGTCAAAAAAAAAAAAAATTCTAAGGAAAGATCCAGCTCTAGGACAATCCTTCATAACAGTACCTCGTACCTTTGCACAAAATCGCTCGAAATCGTCCATCTAATTCTCAAGCATTTACTTCCCTGATCTATCCAGCGATGTTAAAAAATCTGAACAAAAGTACCTGGACAAATCTTTGTCGCGTGCCCCTTTGGAAGAACCACTGCACTGCGGCTAATACCTGGCAGCCTGCACCTCATCCGTTATCGTTTTGACAGCGGGCGCCATTTCACTAAGCTCGTGCTCGCACGCTCGCCACTGTCCTGCTTGTTGCCCGCTAAGAACCTGCCGTCACGACTCACGGTCCTGGCGGGCGGCATCATGTCCTACTTGTCCGCTTAGAACCTGCCGTCACGGTCCCGGCGGGCGGCATCATCCTGCAGTGTAACTGGTGGAGGCAATAGGGTCACACACAACGGCACGTGGTGTGATCCTAAACACACCACTTAAATTTGAGCTCGAGTTTTCGTAGCAGTCATCAAATATGACGAATGTGTCGGTTAATAATACCACGTGTGACAGCCATGACACTGACCCAGAGAATGTATTCAGTCAATAAATATCTGGCTTGTCTTGTCACCAGCTGGTTTATAATTGTGCTAACATAATACAGGGGCAAACATATAGCACAAGCACAATTAAACTTTGCTGGCATAATATTACCTACATAGCAAAACTCGAAACCCGATCAAAAAGCAAAGGCAAAGGACATGCATTTCGCATTTCATTTCTTGTCATGATAATTGATAAATCATGACAGGAATTGATATGACATGACTTGTCATGTCTCGTGACATGGCCCTACAAAAAAAAAAATGTAGGAGATATATCGGCAAAGAGCGAAAGAGATGAAGAGAGAGAGAGAGAGAGAGAGAGAGAGAGAGAGAGAGAGAGAGAGAGAGAGAGAGAGAGAGAGAGAGAGAGAGAGAGAGAGAGAGAGAGAGAGAGAGAGAGAGAGAGAGAGAGAGAGAGAAACATTGCCTCATTCCTTTCCAAAGCCAAGGAATGAAACAGCAGAAAATTGCAAGGGAATAAAAATCCTTTCCTTCCCTCATTCTTTTGGGATCATTTTGTCTCGTCTCTCTCCCAAATTGTGTTATCTGAATATGCATTTATCCAGAATTGGAGGATCAAAAGCATGCGATAGCATGCTTTTGCATCCGGAAATTCCCATTGGTGGGTCGCTGAAAAAAGTTCGGCTGTTTTTCCAAGCTTTTTTGGACCTGGAGTCAAAATGGGTGGACCGATCGGGACGAAAGTGGGACCGTTTGATTTGTCTCCGGCGAGGTAAACTTTTGGTCAGGGGCGGATCCAGAAAATCTCCAAGGGAGGGGCCATTAGAAACCAGGAGGCCCCCCCATAATCCCACCTGTTGGAGGCCCCATCTTCCCACTTGTTGGGCCCCCCCCCCCAAAAAAAAACTGCGTCTATTGAGCTTATCTAGCTGTTCAGGCAACATCTCAACATCTGTGCAGGCTTGGAGGCCCTCTGTGCAGGTTAGGAGGCCCTGTAAAAGTGGTCATCTCTGTGAGTATAAGAGACCTCCAAGTTATGAAAAGCTTTACCAATCTTCTAACAAAGAAGTCTTCTCAGCTAGTCTTCTAAGAAATAACTAAGTGGGTAGGTTAAAAAAAAAACTAATCGGATTTCGGCCACTTTATTTTCAGGAGGCCCCCTTTTCAGCTTTTTAACTTTTTAACTTTTTATTTTATTTTTGAAAAAAAAAATTGGCCAAGGGGGGACCATGGCCCCCATGGCCCCCCCCCTTGTATCCGCGCCTGCTTTTGGTGCTGGCCTCGGCTCGCTCGGTGCTTCGTGGCACATGCTATTCCGCTTCAAAGTTTCGGTGACACGAAATTTTTTGTCAACGCTACAGGTCAACCCGAGGTCACGGGCAAAGCCATACTGGCGGGACACATCGGTAACACCTTGAACCAGTTTCCAGGGGGGTCACCGTCTGCGAGGGGTGCAGGTTGCACGTGCTGGGGTCGGAAAACTGTTTTGACGTGAGGTCCTCTGGCTCAAAGAAATTTTAAGCTATCAACATCAAAATCGGTTCAATGGTAGTCCCAGGCAAGGCCTCCAAAATAATGCACATTTCATTGGGCTATGGATCCTCCAATTCTGGCCCAAGGCAACGCACGAGCGCTGCCGGCATCTAGTCTATGATATGACTGGTTAATGCTTTCCCCTTCTGTCCACTGTTCCATTCCAGTGTATCCCTACCAGCGCATATTACCGTCGCCGGCGAGTCTATGGGGCGGTACCATAATCGGCGAGTCTTGACACGGTCACCGCCCGGGGCGGCACGGGGCGGTACCGCCCGCCCGTCCGCCCCGCCCCCGCCCCCGCCCCCGCCCCGACCCATTACAGAGGTCTGCCGGACTGCAATTAGTCTGTCCAGTGGCCGACAGCGCGCGGTGGACAAAAAGTTACCGCCGGATAGGTGGACTGGTGGACGGGCAAAGAATGTGGAAAGGTGGACAGGGTGGGGAATTGGGAGTGGAGAGAGTGAGTGAAGTGGAGAGGCAGACAGTTTCCGCACTGTGTGTACGCGTAGGATGGACAAAGCTAAAGTCAACATAAGTTGCTGTATGCTGTGAGTCTTAACCCTCGCCCGTAAACGGC